AAATAACTATATTGTACCTGTTTTTTAGATTTGGCAGAAGAATTGGCATTGTCAAAAATTAATCAAAAAAAATTGTAAAACCCGCGAATAAGTAGTGAATTTTCCTTATGAAATGGGCGCGTTTGGTGCTAGAAACCAACTTCATGTTTCGATAAGTCGTCGCCTTATCCGCGTACACACGATTTCTATTCAAAATCACTTTAAACTTTCCTGCATTTTGGGTTGACCAGCTGATATTGTAAATTTTGGTATTCGATAAAGTTTTCCAGTCTTGTTCCTGAAACGTACAATAAATGTATACAAGGTGAGTCAAGCTTGTAATTTCATTACGTATCGCTTCACAGGCTCGACGCTGTGCGAAACAATATACGTGTCTTTTGGGCAAGAATCTTGCAGCAAATTTATATAAAAATTTGCATGACAAGTAGCCGACTGTTAAGGCCGTTTTACAGCTTGCAAGAAAAATTGAATGAAATTATTTGCATGCAAAAAAATTGCATTCAAGATTTCTTGCTTGTCGTTTTACACCTTGCAATTTGACTTTTTCCTTCTCTAACCTTGACCAAACTTTTTTGTTTTTAATTTTGTGTTATGATGTTTGCATTTTCCAAAAATGGAAAAAAGCGATTATAAGTCCATATGAAAAGAAGAAAGCAATAGCAGCCACTTTAAACCTCATAATTGCTAAAAATTCCTCAGCTTGCGCGAAAACCTTCAAGAAAAATGGCACCAAACCGATTGCATGCAACGCCATTCAAAATTCAAAGGCCGTTTTACAGCTTGCAATTCAATCTGCAATATGCAAGAAAGTTGAACGAGGGCATGCGCAGAAGTGAGTCAGCTGATTGTTTTCTGCAAGATTCTTGAAACTTGAATGGCATTGCATGCAATCGGTTTTGTGCCATTTTTCTTGAAGGTTTTCGCGCAAGTTGGGGAATTTTTAGCAATTATAATGCTTAAAGTGGCTGCTATTGCATTCTTCTTTTTATATCGACTTATTTTCACGTTTTTCATTTTTGGAAAATACAAACAGCAACAAAACAAAATTAAAAACACAAAAGTATGGTTAAGGTTAGAGGAAGAAACAAGTCAAATTGCGAGGTGTAAAACGACGTGCAAGAAATCTTGAATGCAATTTTGTTGCATGCAAAAAATTGCATTCAAGTTTTCTTGCTAGCTGTAAAACGGCCTTAATAAAAATCTACCGAGACTCAGTGGATTTCATAACACAGTACTATTCGTGCATGGTGGACCGAATTTTGCCAAAATATGTTTATTATTCGCAATAATTTATTAGTTTCAACACCCAATTTATTATAATTATTATTATCTTGTGAGAAAAAGGATCGCAGGTACACCCATACACATAGGTATTTACTCGGGTATTTAAAATTTTACTTATAAAATAAAATAAATTTAAAAAAAAACTGACGCCACTGATCAATCGGCAATGTTCGGCAGTTTGGCTGCTATCTTTTGGGTAACTACACCTTTTCAACCAGAATTTCGGAAAAAGTAAGTTCAATTTCAGAATCAATAGAATGAAGTTAGGTACAAGTTTATCCAATTTAGGAAAAAATAAGTTCAATTTCGGAATTGGCAAATTATATTTAGAAGAAAGTTTATTCAACTTAGGAAAATCAATCTCATTTTCGGAATTGGAAAATTGAATTTAGGAAAAAGTATAATTTAATTTAGAATTTCATAAAATTCGGAAAAAGTGCAAATAATTTCAGATTTATTGTCAGGATCCGAGGATGAAGGTATACTTTCCCATGCTGAACCCCATTGAACATAATGTATGGAGTTCATTGAGGACATCCATCAAAAAGCAGAATAGAGACAACATTCATTGTGCTGATTGCAGGTTATCAGACCGGCTTGTTTACTCAATACGAGTAATGGCTTGGGTTAAAATATTTGAAAGAATGTGCGGATCGGGTAATGCATTTAATGGATGCTGGAGTTTGCATTCGTTCATATTATCACGTCCAAAGCCGTTATCCAGTGGTTATGCTCCTAGGAGATATGATTTGAATCCCGGAATTTGAGAATGCCTTCCTTATTTTTGAGTTTATGGGGTTTATTCGAGGGTTTATTGTTACATTTTTCTTGTTTCTTGTTTATGATTAAGTGAGATGCTGATAACACATTGTAGTTTTTTGCGTTCTCAATTTTGGAGATGCTTTGTTTTCTTAAAAATTTAACATTTGTATTATTCTCCTGTTTTTGTTTTCTATGTAAATTCACAAACACAAAGGTATTTTTATTAAAAATTCACGCTGACAAAAAATCAGAAATTGTTTGCACTTTTTCAGAATTTTATATCTTTTTTTCTGAAATTGAACTTATTTTTCCTAAATTGAATTTTCCATTTCCGAAAATAAAATGGATTTTCCTAAATTGAATAAATTTTTTCCTAAATATAATTTGTCAATTCTGAAATTGAACGTATTTTTTCCTAAATTAGATAGACCTTTTCCTAAATACAATCTACCGATGCCGAAATCGACCTAACTCTTTCCGAAATTGAGGTTGAAAATGTGTAGACAAAATTGTATAATTGTTTCAACAGTTTTGCACCTGAGAAGTTTCAAAATTGAAATTATCGAACATTGAAAATTTGCCAAAAATCACATTGAGACAGTTTTTATCTCAGAGCTCCGTTAATTTTCATCTGATTTTAACGCATTTTGGCTCTAATTAAAGCCAATTAAACTTTATACAGGGTGTCCCACGGTGGATGGCGTATTAGACGTTTATGGAGAACTAAAAAGCGGATCATTATGAAAATTTGGCAACCGGGATAAATGACCATGATCTAAACTTTAAAAATATTTTTGTCCATGCGGTGTTGCCGCTTCTACTCTAAACTAGTAGCAACATCGCTATTTTAAATGGAACACCCTGCATGTAATTACATATTCGGATTCTACGTAAAATTCTGAGCAGATTTCATGTGATATACCCTATACCTAAGTTCAACTGTTTTGGAAATATTGACAGTTGAAAATTGACTTTTTGCAACTTTGACAGGCTGTAAAACCTGAACGGTTAATTTTAGAGGAAAACCGATTTTACATTCCAGTCTTAGATTTTTATAAACTATCATTTGACACCAACTTTGAATTTAATCCAAATTCCAGTTAAATTTAATCTCCGGTTAAGTTCAAAGTTGGTGTCAAATGATAGTTTATGAAAATCTAAGATAGGAATGTAAAATCGGTTTTCCTCTAAAATTAACCGTTTAGGTTTTACACCCTGTCTAAGTTGCAAAAAGTCAATTTTCAACTGTCAATATTTCCAAAACAGTTGAACTTAGATATAGGGTATATCACATAAAATCTTTTCAGAATTTAACGTAGAATCCAAATATGCAATCACATACAGGGTGTTCCATTTAAAATAGCGATGTTGCCACTAGTTTAGAGTAGAAGCGGCAACACCGCATAAACAAAAATATTTTTTTTTTATTGATAACCTATTTCACTTATTTAAAGTACTCCTCAGCGTGTTTAAATCCAACATTCAAAAACGCGCGTGTTTTAAAGTTACCAATGACAACATCAACAACCAACAACCCGAGAAAGGTTTAAATGTCAACTTTTTAATTATTGATTTGTCAGGAGTAGGTTAGGTACTTGTAGATAACGTCAAATAAAATGTAACAAGTGTCAAGCACGAATGTAGCATTCTACAATTATTAGTAATTTTATGATTTGAACGTTTACCAATAAAAAAAAATAGTGTAAAGTATTCGTGGATAACTGGTCTTTAAAACACTTGCTCTATTTCGATTACTCGCGCGTATTTTAAAGACCTTAATATCCACTTATACTTTAATATACTATTAAAGTGTAGATTATGGTTGTTTATCCTGGTTGCCAAATTTTCAAAATGATCCGCTTTTTAGTTCTCCTTTAACGTCTAATACGCCATCCACCGTGGGACACCCTGTATAGGCCTATTAATTGAGATTTAAATTTGGTTTCAACAGTTTTGTAGCTGAGAAGCTTCAAAATTGAATTTATGGAACATTGAAAATTTTCCAAAAATGACACTGAAACAGTTTTTGCCTCACAGCTCCTTCAATTTGAATTTGATTTGAACAGAATTAACCTCTAAATAAAGCCAATTAAATTCTCTATAAACCTGTTGATTGATATTTTAATTTAGTTTCAACAGTTTTGCAGCTGAGAACCTTCAATATTGAAATTATCGAACCTTGAAAATTTGCCAAAAATGACATTGAGACAGTTTTTGCCTCGCAGCTTTGTTAATTTCCATCCGATTTTAACACAATTGGGCTCTAATTAAAGCCAATTGAATTTTCTATAAGCCTATTAATATTTTAATTTGGTTACAACAGCGGTTTTGTAACTGAGAAGCTTCAAACCAACTGGGTTTTTGTGTATGCCAACCCTGAAAGTAGGTTTAAAATTCACTTTCAACAAGAAAACAACCTAAATTGAAGCTTATAATCATACTTTTCTAGGCGTATTTTTGCTTCAATATTGCATTAAAATCCATCCAATTGAAACTAGAAGTCTTAAAAATTCTTCCGTAGACTTTTTTTCAGGACTGAGAAGTGCAGTCTAAAAGTGCTCTCTCCTGGCTTTTTGCCTTGATTTAAAATCTCTTTGAAATAAATTGATGAATTTTTCCAATCAAAAAAGATACAGGAATTTCTGGAGTGAATCAGTTTGTAGCCCCAATAATAATTTCTTTCATTCCTTTTGAGGGACATAAAATGCTTTAATACAACCAAAATTAACAAATTTTCTATAAAAATTACTTGCAATAAAGATGTTAAATAATCCGTAAATTTTTATATTAAAATCGGTCTAAAAAGGCTAACTTTAACATTAAGAAGTTTGTAAGAAGTAACCTATTGCACTAAAGTGTTTTGCCACCTTTTTGAGATCAATAGTTTCTATATACATTGTATTTTGTTTTTCAAATTTCAATCAAAGTTTTTTTCTTTTTATGTCCGTAAATAGGTGGTATGTATCAGTCAACTAAAAGATCCTTAAACACTGGAATCATTACTTTTGTAAACTACAACAGCCGCGTGCCACCAAAAGTTTCCCAATTAACTTTAGCCCATGAAATTGGTCATAATTTTGGATCGCCGGTAAGTGAGCAATTATTTCAAAATTAATTAGTTATTTACGCAACTATTTCCAGCACGATTTCCCACCAGAATGTCGTCCAGGTGGCCTCACTGGCAACTTTATAATGTTCGCTTCGGCAACTAGCGGCGACCGACCGAACAATAGTAAGTTTTCCAGTTGCTCCATTGGCAATATTAGTAACGTTTTGGACGCGATCGACGACAATAAGAAGAGGAATTGCTTTAGCGCGTCTGCTGGTGCATTTTGTGGAAATAAAATCGTCGAAGCTGGAGAAGAATGTGATTGTGGCTACGATGATAATGAATGTAGGGATAAATGTTGCTATCCTAGGCAAATTAGCAATGAAGATAGACAAAGAAATGTTACTGCTATTGGGTGTAGGCGGCGTATTGATACTGAATGCAGGTAAGAATTATACTAATTCTTTTGAGTTTTGGCACAAATTTTGATTATTTTTTTTTAAGTCCGAGTCAAGGTCCTTGTTGTAACGGCGAAACATGTAAATTTACCTCAGCCTACCAACAGGAATTGTGTAAACCGGACTCTGATTGTTCTATGTCCTCCTATTGTAGTGGCAGAAGTTCCGAATGTCCTGTTCCTCAACCTCGTCCTGATAAAACTAAGTGCAATAATGGAACTCAATTGTGTATCAAGGTAAGAAGCATCCAATCTAGTTAGGATTGCTATATCATAAGTATATCAATTGCTTATAGAACATATTTTTTTAGGGTGAATGTTTAGGTTCAATATGTCTCGAATGGAATCTCCAAGCTTGCTCTCTTACCTCTCAGGACCATCCAAATATAGACAAAAGAAAACTATGCGAATTGGCTTGTCAAAATGGTACCGATATTTGTCGCAGTACCAGCGAATTCTCAGACAAAGTGGGACTACCGCCCGGTGGCATCAGCTTAAGGCCCGGATCGCCTTGTGATAATTTCCAGGGATACTGCGACGTGTTCCTGAAATGTCGAGCAGTGGACGCAGACGGACCGCTAGTCCGCCTAATGAATCTCTTGTTGAATAGACAGACGTTGTTAACGGTGGCCCAATGGATCACTGAATATTGGTGGGCGGTACTTTTGATGGGCATCGGTTTTATTATTTTTATGGGGCTGTTTATTAAATGTTGCGCCGTGCACACGCCATCTTCTAATCCTAAAAAACCACCGGCTAGAAGGATTAGTGATACTTTGAGGAGGCCAATGAATACACTTCGTAGAATGGTAAGTGAACATTTTACTCAACAGAAATTCCATCATTTTATTGGGTGAGGTTTTGAAGCTAGTTTTCTATACCTCAGTTCTAAGATGCTTCATTGTTCAAAAAACAGTTAACAATAAAGTTTTCATTTCCTAGCGTCATCACCACAGTACACCGGGTCATAGGCCACCAGCGCCCCATTTGCCCAGCAGAAGCCAACCGGAAAGGCCAGGACGGCCTTCATCTAGTCAACCGGGCCCTAGAGCGGGCTACGGAGAGGGTCGGGGTCACTATCAGGCTCCCAAAGGTAAAGGGAGCAAATGTACGTTTTGTTTTTTTTTTTATTATTATTTTGCCTCATTCATTTCATCGTTTGTGTCTTAATGTGTGTCTCACTAAATCCATTGTTTTGATTTTTTTGTTTGTTCTAATATCATTAACACACATCAAAACGCATACTAATTGATTTTGTTTCTAAATAAAACCAGATTATTCCCCATTAGCCACAGCACCGCCGCCAGCTAGTAGCTATCAGTATGCTGGAGCTTACGAAATGAGAAATAAAGTCTGACAGAAAGTAAGTAGAACATTACTACTATTACATAAATGTATAGGGTTATTGGCCACATTTTGGTAACTTTTTTATTTGACGTTTTTGACCCATGGTTTAAGTTGGCTTTGGATATACAGGGTGACCCATAACTAAATGTTTGGCAGAATGTGGCCAATAATGAACCCGTACACGTTTTGTGGTTGGTGTAAATTTGAACCAATCAGAAGCTGTAGGAAATTTGGCTAGTACAAAAGCACTAAACAAAACTGCTTATTATTGAGAGTATTCCTTTTGCAACTGTTCTATTTTAGACCATTTTATTCTCTTATTATATACAAGTCATTTTTGGAATATTTTATAAAGCGCTCCAGCCCTTGTTGGGCTTTGGCTGACGCGAAGACTTGCCTCCATCCGACACGCTCGGTCATAAGCTCCGTGCCATTTTCAATGCCCAGTTTTTTCAGATCCATAGAAATGTTGTCCCGCCATTTCAATCTGGGTGTTCCAAGTGGCCTTTTCCCTTCTGGGGATTTCTGCCATACAAGTTGTTCTTTCTTCGAGTTGCCTACGCACGTGTCCTGTCCATCTAAGCCGTTGAGCTACAGATCTGCATTTGTTTTACTTCTTTCTGTATTGCTGCGTCTGTGGCTAACTGAAATAACTAAAGGCTAACTTCTGGAATTACCTAGGTAATTCCAGAAGTTAGCCTTTATGGAATTAGTTAATTCTGGCCAAGTTCGTTTTTGTCATCTTTTTCGTCGACTTGCTCCGAAATTTTGACAGGCACGTGACTGGATAAGAGAGTTTCAATTTACAAATCACGTGCCTGTCAAAATTTCAGAGCAAAGCGACGAAAAAGATGACAAAAACGAACTCGGCCTCTATCACCTCTTTTCAATTTGAATGTTTGAAACTAGCAAACAAAATATTCAAATTGCTATTAACAAATCACTTATCTAAAATACTTTCCCTGAATCTTATGAACTTTTCTTTATCCAAAGCCTTGGTAAACATATCTGATATACAGGGGGTTCCAAAAATTAAGAGATCATAAATCTCGCCAAAATAAACGTTTTTTCCTTATAAACCCGAAGGCGCATGCGCTTTGGTTAGGTGATAATAGCACATAACAGTTCGCGCTGTGGTAGCCATCTTGCATACAGAGAAACGTGTTTGAGGCAAAATCTGTGTTACTAAATAATACAAAACCCAAGAAATGCTTACAGAATTTATTAAAAACAATGATTCAGATCAAAAGATGCTCAAAATTACGACCACCTGCCTTAATGCATGCGTGACAGCGCCGTAGCAGAAACATCGAGTAGATTTCTGCAAGAAACCTTTCCCAAACTGTCAGAAACTCTTCTGCTATATGCCAGAAAAAAACATGTGGTAGAGTCCGCGTCAAGACTAAAGAGTATGGTGTCGTCATTTGCGCACAAACCCAATTTTGAAGACTAACCGAACTATCGTATCGATCGGTGCTGCTGCCGAACGCCAAGCACGTGGTTCATTGTCGTACGACCAGCAGGCATATTTATTTGGTTTATTTTGTATCCAAGTTTTGTCTGAAAAGATACCCCGCTGCTGGCTTCAGCTCACGGCCGAGGTCACGGCAGACAGCGAGAGATAGACGAGGGAGAGAGATCCGACCCGCTTCGCGCAGCTTTTTATGTCGTCACCGTAGTCTTTAGTGCTGATTTTACCTCTACCAGCACGACAGAGCTCCACACATTACTCGTTAGCCGTAAGCTCGGCCGTAAGGGAAGATCTCAACGGAACAATCTGGAAAGAGTGGTTGGTAAGGGCGCACCTATTGCATGGCCTCCACGTTCACCAGACCGGACCGAATACGACTTTTTTTATGGGGTCACATGAAAGCTTTTGTTTACAACACTCCAGTTGAAACAGACTAAACAGAGGAACAGTTAAAAGGAAGGATTGTTGCAGCAGCTGCTGAAATTCGCGAAACGAAAGGATTTTTTCAATGTGTTCAGGCGCTGTCACACATGCATTGAGGCGGGTGGTGATAATTTTGAGCATCTTTCGATGTGAATCATTGTTTTGAATAAATACTGCGAGCATTCCTTGAGTTTTGTATTATTTAAAAACACGGTTCCTGCTTCTTTAAAAACACGTTTTAACGTGTACAAGGTGGCTACCACAGCGCGGACTGTAATGTGCTGTTATCACCTAACCAAAGCGCATGCGCCTATAGGTTTATAAGTAAAAAACGTTTATTTTGGCGAGATCTATTATCCCTTAATTTTTGGCACAATAGTTGCGGAACACCCTGTACATATTTTCATTTAACGGAATATATCTTAAAATAATTTCTCTTCACGAACACATATCTTTTATGAAATGATATTTGATGTCGATATGTAGCAGGTTTAGAATGTTCAAAATTATGTATAAAGGAAATTAATTGCACTTATATTGTCAATTTCGAGTACCACTGGTTAACAAATTTCGAATTCACTTATAACCACTTGTGCTTTTTCTGGTTTCACGGTCACCTCCCCAATCTGCATCACACAAACCAATCAATTAATTCATATTCCCTTTTTGGAACAATAGACCACAATCTTTGGTGTAGTTAAGGTAACGGAGGATTCTCTTACCAGCTTCCAATGTACTTATTCTTAGTTGATCCAAAAATCTGCTCAAGTAGGCAACATTGTATGAAATATCTGGTCGACTACTTCCATAGGTGTAGAAACATTGCTAATCTTCTCCATATTAAATTCCTTAGGAAGTCTTGATATAGACTAAATCACGATAGAAAGTGAAGTTGACAGTTCGCGTTGACATTTTTAGTAAACTTTTTCTTTAAGTTGTCAGGCGTTAGCGCTTCGATTCCGTCAGCTGGGATAAATGACAGGGTCGTATTTAGAAAAGTTATATAAATTTCAGAATAAAAATTTATTTTCAATTTCTTTAATGGAAGTTAAGTTATTGAAATCCAAAAATCCTAAAATTAGAGTCCAAAGTAAACACTTATAATAAGAGAAAACATTTAAATCCAAACTAAAACCAGGTTTGAAACGCAACACCGAAACACAAAGGCACAGAACACTACATAAAAAAAAACCAAAAAACCGATTGCGATAATAACAAATAAAAAAATAATGCAGTAAACGGCAAAACACTGAAAGATTTCACACAAAAATTCGAAAATCAAAATTCAATATAATTATAGTTCCAACATTTTGCAGCATTTCTCAGACAGTATAACGCTCGGTTCAGTTTAAGACACTTTGAAGTAGTATTTAAGCCTTCTGGGTTGTTGTTAAATATGTCTTTATCCAAAAATCCGTTCCAAAATGCAGTTGGAACATCTATTTGATGAAGTTTCCAATCTTTTTGGTCAGAAACTGGACTGGATAAACTTGGACAGGACAGTCGTTTTATTGTTGATAGTCTGCAAACTGTAGCGTAGCATAACAAAACTCATCTCCATTATTACGAGACACTAGATCCATCTAGTGTCTATTGCTACTTGACCTTTAGGTAGCTCTACACTTTGCCAACTTTGCAATTTTTCATGAGGGTTCAGTTCTTTGTTTATTGCTTCGTAAATTGAAGACGTAATCCATATATGAAGTTGAAATTTCATTCAAAAGAAAAACTCAATGTCTTCCTCCACAAATACTTTGATTGTTTTACACGGCCCTACATGTTTCGGGATTAGTAAATCCCATCATCAGGGGCAATAAATTCGCTCATATATTAACAGGGATGGATATCATTGGCCATAGATCATGCTACAGAATTTTTTAAAAATACTTTGTAGCATGATCTGGCAGCCTATGATATCCATTATTGCTTCTTGACAATCGGGTAATTAAATGGCTTCTTTAACATTTTTGGGATCTCGGTTTGTCTCGGTCAATAAACAATATGCAGTGTAAACTTCGTAATCTTTTAAATGTTTAGGTGGAACTACTAATCTTTAATAGAGAATTATGGCACCTTGAAATAGTGACGGTCACTAATATAAACGTTCTTATTTTGACATTATTGACACCTACGCATGCGTATTTGTGACTAATGGCGTTTCCGATTGGTAGATCTAGTGCGGAACTAGTGCAATTTTTTCTATTGCTGTCTTTTGCTTTTACAGGTCGATTAAAAGGAGGCAAATACACTCAGTGCGCACTGAATCTACCAATCGGAAACGCTATAAAATTAGTGGCGGTCAGTAATAAAATAAGGATCATCCTTATTTGTGATTGGATAGTGAATGGCAGTAATATTTATTCCACTATGTTTTGAGACATGCGCAAATGTTAGTTGTCCAAGAATTTTTCAGATTCTAACCTCACATAATCTGTTTATATTTTTTGTTTGTGTTTTGTGAATGGATAAAACCGAAATACATCATTTGCACCCCCCAGAATGGCAGCTTCTAACGTTTTTTCCATTACAATTGAGTAAACAATGCGACACTGACGCGAAAAAATTGTCAAAATAGTGGACATTTAACATGTTGTGCCATAATTCTTTTAATTCATAAGAAATAGTGACTGTCAGTAATTGAATAAGGCCGATCAGTAATAAAATCGATCACTATTTGGGAAGTGCCATAATTCTCTATTATTTTGACATTCTTTGTTCGAAAGGCAAACTTTCTCTATTCTCATCACTTCTACATGTAGAATTTGATTCATTTTCTTTAATTGTTTTCAATTTCGTTCATATTATTTTCGTGATTTTCTTCTTCAGTTTTAAATTTTATTGGCCACCATTATATAAAATCTTGACATCACTGACTTTTAAAAAATTTGAAAGTGTCGCTTTACCTGCTCTACTTCCCTCTTCGATTTCCCTCACCGATTTTCTTCACTCTATTTACCTTTGCTGGCAACAATGAGAACCAGATATCAGGTAAAAACGTCACTAGAGTGATGAGACATTTTGACATGTGTGTTTTATTCTATTATTATCAAAAAATAGAATAACTATACATATTATATTATACAAACCTCGGTGGAAAGTTTTCATTTCTGTCTCGGGAATAA